AAAAATAATCCATCTTCACCCATGGAGGGCTCCACGCAGACTGAGCTCTGCAGGGCTGGGGAAGGCTTATCAATAGTGATGTCCCGAACGATTTGCCGCGGATGGCGAACATATGACCCTGTACCTCACAGCCAGCAGCAGACCCTCCCTCCCAGACCCTCCCACCTCCTGGACAGCATCCATTTTGAAGCTGCATTCTTAGTGAGCTGTCCAGGAGGTGAGAGGGTCTGGGAGGGAGGGTCTGCTGTAGATTGGCTGGAATGTGTATGCTGACTGTGAGGTACAGGGTCATATGTTCGCTGTCCGGGACATCACTACTTATCAAGCCTTGCCACACCCTGCAATTAGGCTAAGAACACTCTGATTGGTTGGTTTAAGCCAATCAGAGTGCTCTTTGTCATTTTACACAGCGTGGGAAAATTCCAAAGAACTTAGCTTGAAATCCATCCAATCAGAGTGCTCTGTGTCATTTTACACAGCATGGGAAAGTTCATTGAAATTTTCCCACACTGTGTAAAATGACAAAGAGCACTCTGATTGGTTAGATTTCAAGCCCACCAATCAGTGTTATGAGTCAAATTACACAGCGTGGGAAAATTCCAAAGAACTTTCCCACGCTGTGTAAAATGACACAGAGCACTCTGATTGGATGGATTTCAAGCTAACCAATCAGAGTGCTCTGTGTCATTTTACACAGCGTGGGAAAGTTCTTTGGAATTTTCCCACGCTGTGTAAAATGACAAAGAGCTCTCTGATTGGCTTAAACCAACCAATCAGAGTGTTCTTTGCCTAATTGCAGGGTGGGGGAAGGCTTTATTTACTTAGTATTAGTAAATGTGGCTGAAAGACCAATTTAGGTCTTTCAGCCTTTTAGTAGATAACTCCCTGATACCGTGTTAGAATGCAATTCGGCAGTTTTGCCGGCGTCCTGTCTAAGTGACAGGAAGCATTGCGGGAATACGGAGGAAAGGTAAGGATTATGGGAAAATTGCTGTGACCACCGGAAACGAAGCACACTTTTCTCCTCCGCTGGTCACGGCGTAGGAAACCTCCAGAAGAGAAATAGTCCCTATTTTTTCTTAAGTTTTAAAGAAAACTAGAGCAGACAGGAAGAAATGAAGAACAGATACTGAGAGAGGGAGAGAAGGGGAATCGATTGGGGAAAGGTAAGTTCGGCATGACAGTGTCGCTTTAAGGAAAAAGGAATTTACGGTGAGTAAAATTGCAGTTTTTCCGGACATATGGTGGCAGTACAATAGGGATATGGGTGGGAATTAAGCAATCACCTCTTTTAACACCTTATGCCCAACTGCAGCGTCAGAGGCAGAGAATACGTCTAGTCTGTAATGTTTGACGAAGGTGTTGAATGAAGACCATGTAGCAGCTCTGCAGATATCAGGTGAAACTTGTGGAGTAGACTTGGAGGCAGCCTGACCTTTAAATTTTCCAAAGAAATTGACGAAAAGATGGTCAGTCTTTCTGTATGCTGAGGATCGATCCAAGTAGATTTTTTTTAGAGACCTACCAACATCCAACATGTGCCAATTCTCATCCAGATCGGAGACAGATGGATATCACGGGTGGTGGTCCGAAGACTGGGACCCTTGTGTGCCTGATGATGATGATGGGAGTCTCAGCGCGAAAATGGACAATCAGGCTCTGGTGCAGGGTTACCACACGCCCCCTGGTGTTGAGCACCAGGGTTTGTGCGGCAACATACCAGAGCCCTTATGCAGCTTAAGCGGATGCCAGGAGCTGATATTAAGCAGATATGTATCCAGTACTACAAACAAGGCAAGACTAGAACAGGCACCAAACAAGAAAACAAGACAAGACTAGAAGAACCCAGAACCAGAGCAGGACAGCAGAACCCAGAATATGTACACAATACATGAGGGAAACTTGAACAGGTCATGGACAGGGCAGGACAGGAACTGGGAATACAAGACAAAATAAAACAAGACAAGAGATACAAGGCAAAACAAGAAGAGACAAACTAAGTACTACATATGTAATAAACATTGTAGATTTAGACATACATACATAAATGGCCAAGATGTATGCAGCCCACAACTGCGCCAAAGTACTCCAATTATGATGGGTCCTAACTGCTTAAATATGCATGACTAAATGTACAACAATAAAACACACACAGTACTTAACTACAAGGAAAGGAGCAGAGGAAATGAAACCACTGCTAGCAGAAACAGACAGAAACAAAAAGGAATAAATGGCAAAGGAATGGGTGTGGCAACAAAATACAAACATTTAAAGCATGGGTCCTCAAACTCTGGCCCCCCAGATGTTGCTGAACTACAACTCCCATGATTCACTGGCTATCTATGTAATTCAAAGAATCATGGGAGTTGTAGTTCAGCAACATCTGGGGGGCCGGAGTTTGAGGACCCATGATTTAAAAGAATCCAGGAGACTGGGAATTCCAGGAACGGAATAAAGGAATGAACCCAGAAAACCCAGCATGAAGAACACCCAATATAGAATAGAAAACCAGAAAAAACAAGAAAAACTAAACAAGAATTGTAAAAAGAGTAATATCAGAAGCCAAAGCCAGAAATATCCGCAGAATAGAACAGGATGTGACATTGGATAACTAAGGTAGGCAGGGAAATTGGTTGATTGATAGCCCTGGAAGAGACGACTTTAGGTAGAAACGTAGGTTTTGAATACAGAACAACTTTTTTTGGAAGAAACTTTTGTAAATTTCCAGACGATGAAAAGGCCTGAATTTCACCTATCCTTTTAGCAGAAGTTATGGCCACCAAAAATTTGTTTTTTTAGAGACAATAGCTTTAAAGATGTTTCCTCCAAAGGTTCAAAAGGATGGGTATAAAGAACCTTCAAAACCAAAGACAGATCCCAAGAGGGAAAAAAACTCTTCTTGGAGGCTTAATAAGCCTGACAGCCTTAAACAATCTCCTAATCAGAGGATTTGAAGCCAAGTTCTTTACCAAAAAATATCTGACAGCAGAAACTTAAACTTTGAGGGTAGATAAACTAAGACCCACTTTAAGGTTGTC